TCAGACAAAATAGATTTCAAGACAAAAAGTATATGCAGAGACAAAGGAGGTCATTACACAGTGATAAAGGGGTCAATTCAGCAAGCAGCTATAACAATTATAAATATATATGCTCCCAACAAGGGATGATCCAGCTATCTAAAGCAAATATTATCAGAGCTAACGAGAAAGAGAGACCTCAATGCAATAACAGCTGAAGACTTCAACAGCCACTTTCAGCATTGGGTGGACCTTCCAGACAGAAAGTAAACATAAATGTCAGTTAATCTTCAGTATAGACAAAATGGACCTAATCGATATTTACAGAACATACCATCCAATGGCTGCTGAATACACATTCTTCTTTTCAGAACATGAATCGTCCTCAAGGATAGACGATAAAACGAGGTCACAAAAACAAATCTTAACACATTTAAAAAATTTAAATAATATCAAGTTTCTTCTCTGACCACAATGGAAAACTAGAAATCAATAAAAGAAGAATTTTTTGGAAACTATACAAACACATGGAAATTAAACACTATGCTCCTGAATGACGAGTGGGACAATGAAAAAATTAGGAAGGAAATTGAAAAATGTTTTGAAACATTATAATAGAAATAAAACATAGCAAAACCTATGGAATACAGCAAAAGTAGTACTAAGAGGGAAGTTTATACCTATAAGCACCTACATTAACAAACTAGAAAAACTTTAAATAAACAACCTAACAATGCATCTTAAAGAGCTAGAAAGGCAAGAACAAACCAAACCCAAAATTACTAGAAGTAAGGAAATAATAAAAATCAGAACAAAAATAAATAAAATCGAATAAAGAAAATACAAAAAAATCAATGAAATGAAAGCTGGGTTTTCAAAAAGATAAAAACAATTGACAAACCCTTAGCCAGACTGAGAAAAAAAAGAGAGAAGCCCCAAATAAATACAATCAGAGATGAAAAAAGAGACATTGCAACCGATAACACAGAAATGCAAAGGATCATTAGTGGCTACTATGAGCAATTGTATGACAATAAATTGAAAAATATAGAGGAAAGATATAAATTCCTAGACACATGCAACCTACCAATATTTAATCATGAAGAAAATCTTAACAGATCAATAATGAGTAATAAGATCAAAGCCATACTAAAAAGTCTCCCAGCAAAGAAAAGCCCAGGACCCACTGGCTTCACTGCTGAATTTTACCAAATATTTAAAGAACTAATATCAATCCTACTCAAAAAATTCTGAAAAATAGAGGAGGAGGGGATACTTCCAAACTCATTATGTGAGGCCAGTATTACCCTAATACTAAACCCAGACAAAGACACATCAAAAAAAGAAAGCCTACAAACCAATATCCCTGATGAATATTAATGCAAAAATCCTCAACAAAATACTGGCAAACCAATTTCAACAGCACATTAAAAACATAATTCACCATGATCAAGTGGTATCTATCCCAGGGGTGTGAAGATGGTTCAACATACACAAATCAATCAATGTGATATATCAACAGAGTGAAGGACAAAAACCATATAATCATTTCAGTTGATGCTGAAAAAGCATTTGATAAAAACCAACATCCCTTCATGATTAAGAAAAACACTAAAAACACTTGGTATATAAGAAACATACCTTAATATAGTAAAAGCCATATATGACAGACTCACTGCTAGTATCATACCGAATGAGAAAAAAAACCTGAAAGCCTTTCCTCTAAGATCTGGAACATGATGAGGAGCCCCACTGTCACTACTCTTTTTCAACACAGTACTAGAGTTCCTAGCTACAGCAATTAGACAAGAGAAAGAAATAAAGGGCAACCAAATTGAAAAGGAAGAGGTCAAATTATACTTGTCTGCAGATGACATGATCTTATCCTTGGAAAAACCTAAAGATTCCACCAAAAAGTGATTACAACTGATAAATAAATTCAGTAAAGTTGCAGGATACAAAATCAACATGCAAAAATTAGTAGCATTTCTATATGTCAACAGTGAACAATCTGAAATAGAAATCAAGCAAGTAATTCCATTTACAATAGCTATAAAACAAAACACCTAAGAATTAACCATAGAAGTAAAAGAGCTCTATAATAAAAACTATAAGCCATTGATGAGAAAAGAGGCCACAAAAAAGAAAAGATGTTCCATGTCTCTAGATGAGACGAAGAAATATCATTAAAGTGTCCATACTACCCAAAGCAATCTATGGATTCAATGCAACCCCTATCAAAATACCAGTGACATTCTTCACAGAAATAGAAAAAAGAATCCTAAAATGTATATAGAACCAAAAAAGACCCAGAATAGTCAAAGCTGTCCTGAGCAAAAAGAACAAAACTGGAAGAATTACATTACCTGACTTCAAATCATACTACAAAGCTATAGTAACCAAAATAGCATGGTACTGGCATAAAAACAGATACATAGGCCAATGGAACAGAAGTGATAACCCAGAAACAAATCCACATACCTTCAGTGAACACATTTTCGACAAAGGTGCCAAGAACATACACTGAGGAAAAGACCGTCTCTTCAATAAATGGTGCTGGGAAAACTGGATATCCATATGTAGAAGAACAAAACCAGATCCCTATCTCTTGCCATATGCGGAAATCAAATGAAGATAGATTCAAGACTTAAATCTAAGACCTCAAACCATGAAGTTATTAAAAGAAAACATTGGGGAAACGTTCCAGGACGTTGGACTGGGCAAAGATTTCTTGAATAACACCTACAAGCACAGGCAACTAAAGCAAAAATGGACGGGATTACATCAAGTTAAAAAGCTTCCGCACAGCAAAGGAAACAGTCAATAAAGCGAAGAGACAACCCACAGAATGGGAGAAAATATGTGCAAACTACTCACCTGACAAGGGATTAGTAACCAGAATATGTAAAAGGCTCAAACAATTCTACAGGAAAAAATCTAGTAATCTGATTTTTTAAATGGGCAAAAGATCAGAATAGACATTTCTCAAAAGAAGATGTACAAATGGCAAACAGATACATGAAAAGGTGCTCAATAGCACTGCTCATCACAGAAATGCAAATCAAAACGACAATGAGATATCCTTTCACCCCAGGTAAAATGGCTGTTATCCAAAAGTCCAAAAGACAGGCAATAACAAATGCTGGCGAGGATGTGGAGAAAGGGAACCCTCATACACTGTTGGCGGGAATGTAAATTAGTACACCCACTATGGAGAATCACTTGGGGGTTCCTTAAAAAACTAAAAATAGAGCTACCACCTAATGCAGCAATCCCACAGCTAGGTACATGCCCAAAAGAAAGGAAACCAAAGAGACGTCTGCACTACCATGTTTCTTGTAGCACTATTCACAACAGTCGAGATTTGGAAGCAACCTAAATGTCCATCAACAGATGAATGGACAAAGAAAATGTGGTACCTATACACAATGGAGTATTATTCAGCCATAAAAAAGAATGAGATCCTGTCATTTGAAATAAGATGGATGGAACTGGAGATCATTATGGTAAGTGAAATAAGCCAGGCACAGAGAGAGAAATATTGCATGTTCTCACTTATTTCTGGGAGCTAAACATTCAAACAATTCAACTCACGGAGATAGAGAGTAGAAGAATGGTTACCAGCAGAAGGATGGATGAGAAGGGTAGTGCGGGCTGGCAGAGGGGAGTGGGGGTGTTTAATGGGTACAAAAAAGTAGTCAGAATAAGACCTACTATTTGATAGCACAGCAGGGTGACTACAGTCACCAATAATTTAATTGTATATTTAAAAATAACTAAAAGAATATAACTGGATTGTTTGGAATACAAAAGATAAATGCTTGAGGTGATGGATACCTTATTTACCTGTGACTATTACACACTGCATGCCTATGTCAAAATATCTCATGTATCCCAAAAATATATATACCTACTATGTACCCAGAAAAACAAAAAATTAAAAAAAAATTTAAATCAAAGAAAGAGAAAGAAAGAAAGAATTTAACCGTACCCAAAGAGAGGTCTGGTTCTTGCCTTTGGCCCTGGGAGAGGCCATTTCTAAGCCCTTAGAATGTCATTCCTGATGGCAGTGTATTTATTTCCCTGGGCACCTCGGGCCAGATGGATAGTAACAGTGTGACGTGGGGTGGAGGTTTGGGTCATACGGAATCAGTCGGCCACCAGAAGGGCTGGAGATTTGAGACTTGGGTCAGCCACACGGGCAATCAATCACCCCTAGGTGATGGAGTCCCAGATAAGGACTGTGGACATGGAGGCTCTAGTGAGCCTCCTTCACTGGCAACATTGCACATACACTACCACACTCTGTGCCGGGAGAATAACACTTTCTTGATTCCATGGGTAGAGGACAACGGAAACTCCATGTTTGGTGCCCTTCTGACACCACCCTGTGCCACTTCTTCCCTTGGCGGATTTTAACTGGGGTCCTTTCCCTGTAATAAATGGTAACCATGAGTATAACAGCTTTGAGTAGTTCCGTGAGTCCTCCTCCAAGGGTGGTCTGGGGAATCCTTGAACTTGAAATTGGTGTCAGCAGTGAAGGTGATCTTCAGGAATGTCCCCTCTAACTTTGTAGTTGTCTACTTCCAGATAAACCATAAAGATGATGGATATGGAGAAAGCATCACTGATTAAGAACCACAGACTTTTCCTGAATAAGAAGGTCTCCCGTTCTTTTGGGCAGCAGCGAGTGTAATTATGTTATGTAGAATTTGTCAACGGCAGCATAAATAGTGAGGACATGGATGGAAGGGGACATATTATTTCTCAAGCCCCTGCCCTCAAGGAGATCCTTCTGCCTTGGCCTCCCACAGTGCTGGGATTACAGGTGTAAGCCACCATGTCCTGCCAGAATGTACTATTACTTATCACACTCAAGACACACGTTTCAGAGAAATGGCCACAGAGTCCCCAAAAGAATTCAGAGTGCTGAGAATCAGATGCTTCTATGGAACATTTCGAAAAGAACCAACCCAAATGGAACGCTGATAGGTAGTAAGTGATTAACAAATGTCAGTGCAGTGAATTGAAATGTGGAAGACTTTCTTCACTGCTGTTTATTCATTTGATGTAGGCTTGATTTAAGGAAGCAGGTGATGGCTTTGAGAATCTGTACTAATGAGGTCTGTGACTGCATGTGAGGTAACTCCCACTCTGAGGCCAGCTTCTTCATCTGTGAAATAGAGATAATTTCAAACTTCCTCATCAGTAGTTTATAGGAACGAACTGAAATAATGTTTGCAATGGTTTATTAAAAACCCTGGCTCACAGTGAACACACATAAAATGGCAACTATTAAAACCAGTGAGAACACCATTGCTTTTTTGGGACAAAAAGAGGCCAAAACAGGAATTTCAGATGAACCAACGCTTTCAGCAACTATTAAGAAACTACAGTTTGGTTGCCCCCACCCCTGCCCTCAGTCTTACCTCCAGGAGAGGACTGATTATTTGTTATTTATTTATTTGAGACAGTGTCTCGCTTTGTCACCCAGGCTGGAGTACAGTGGTGCGTTTTTGGCTCACTGCAACTTCTGCCTCCCGGGTTCAAGTGATCCTCCCACCTCAGCCTCCTGATTAGCTGGAACTACAGATGCATGCCACCATGCCCAGTTTTTTTTTTTTTTTTTAATACTTTTGGTGGAGGCAGAGTTTCGCCATGTTACCCAGGCTGATCTTGAACTCCCGGCCTCAGGTGATTCACCCACCATGGCCTTCCAAAGTGCTAAGATTACAGGCATGAGCCACCGTGCCCAGCCAGGAAAGAATGAATTCTTAATGCACCAGAACCAAAATGAGGGCGCTGCAGCCTCTTTCGTGTGAAACAAGTTTGTCAGTCCCAGATGGTAATTCTGGGATTGTACTGAGTCACGTGTTACGTATTGCTTCTTTTAGTCATGTGATGCACCTGCTATGCGCGCTGTTATTACAATGGGGGTCCAGCCCTTTTTCCTTCTTAGCATGTTAAGAGAAAACATTCTCTAACAGGACTGCAGCAAAGCCGCCTGTCTTGGTGAAGACAAACCAGCTGTGCTCACATATTGTCAAACATCTGGAGAGAAGCTTAAAAAACATTTGAATCAAACAGTCTGATGTTTGGGCATATCTAAAAAGAGACTCTGCTTGGTTCTTTGTAAATTCCTGACTAAACCTTTCCATTTTCAGCTGGCTGTTGTGGTACAAGGGCAGCCACAGTGAGAAATAAATGGAAATCCACATCTCCTGGGGTGCACGGGAGCACGTTCCATGCAATCCACACGGTGAGCTAAATGTTGATGCATTCTCAAAATGAAAGAATGTCCAAGGGGATATTTAATCTCATTGCCTGGCCATTCCAAACAAGATGGTTTCTTCGTTTGTGAACCCGTGGCAGGCAAAGTAATTTGGAAACTGTCCTATGGAGAACATTAGAAAGTAAAATTGTATCCCCTGCATCACCCTGCCTTCCAAAAAAAAAAAAAAAGTCATATTTATATCCTACAAAATAATACATAAGATTCAAGAATCAATTCTTCTGGTTTATGATTTCTAACAATTCCCTAGAGTCGAAATTGAAAGTAACCTTTGCAAGCATGAAACTTGCACACAAATGAAGATCAAGTTCAAAATTATTGGCAAGGACTGACAACAACAAAAACCAAGAGATAAAGATTCAAAATTAAAATACAGCCATTTACCTTCATTACTGACAGCAGTTCAAACATATGTCCACCAAGATGCAATTCCCTTCGGATGCATTTAGCCGTCTCTACATAAAATCAATACATCCATAGAATTTACAGAGCGGTGCTAGGCACTATCCCTCCTGCGGAGCCTCACCACACCAAGAACAATCTTTTTAAGATAATAAAGTACAACTTGATTATCATGCCTAAAAACATACGCGAGAAATTTGCTAGAAAACATTTCACATTTGTGAAGAGAGAAAATTGGAGAAGTTAAAAAAAAAAAAATCCCAGGTTCAATATCCACTTCTTCCTCCCCCATTATCATACCTCCCTGGAAATTTTTTTTATGCATAATTCCAACAGAAATCCCATTCTTCCTGGATGCTATGCTAAAAATTGGAAAGCAGCAGGTTAGCTAGTCTCATATAATCAAAATGCCGACTCTCCAGCAAGTTCTCTGGCAGATCCCTTCCTTGTTCCCAGAGGGACAGAAAGGTACACAATACTTTGCCCTTCCAGCATTCTGCATGCCAGATCAAAGTCCCTGTGGACGGTCACCTGGGATGTTCAAACACATCTTTTAAATGTGAAGGCATATAAGACTCGCACACACTTTATAAGGCCTGTGTGCACTTTTAGGGCCTGCTTAATAAAAGATCCAAATTTGGCATTTTCAGACTTCTAGCTTATTAAACAGGGAAAATGTAAAATGCATGACCTGGATAAAAAGAGCCATTCTTCTCACCGGGCTCTCAGTTTTGAAGCCGGCTTCTTTGTTCTCAGTGAAAATTAGTTTGGTAACAGCTCCAAGTCCACAGTGGATGATGAGCCCTGTCCCTCCACCTCCCCCAGTGGATGCTGGCAAGAGCGTCCACTCTTGCTCAGGAGGGGACCTGGGCTCTGCTAGTGTGTCTCAGTCCTAGAACAGCAGAGACACCTATGTTAGCTACCAGGCTGTTAATAGGACCGGATCCCAGAGACCTCACAGTCCAGCTGGCTGCTCTAGCCTCAACTCGAAAGATCCAGGGAGAGCATCTGTGTCCAAAATTGCCCAAATCAATTAACCTTCTCTAGTATTAGTCACTATTCAGGGACCAAGGGCTGCGTGCAAAAGCAAGATGATGTCTCAGCCCATGAGCAGGCAGGACCCTCAGAGGTAATGATAAACGAAGCTATTCTGGTCTATAGCCAGGCATTGGACTGCCATTTCTCAACTGAATCTCCTACCACCCAGCTGTAGCCTAGAACAGACTCCAAACACTCACTCTTTATATTCAATCTGGATTCAAAATGCAGATTAGCAGGATTACATCCATAATAACTGTACCTGGAAATAAACTTATTGGGATTGTTTAAAGGTAATACTGTGGTCTTCCTTTTGTATCCCTCTCTGCATCTCTAGCAGCAGGGTTTGCCCAGCCCCCAGCACCTTCTTCCCAACACCAGCCAGAGCCCCGATGTGCCAGGTTTCCTAGAAAGTGAAACATACCAAACCAACAAGTTTAACAGAAGAAAAACCCTAACCCCACTAATTCTACCTGAACCATAAGCTTATGGACAGTGACCACATTAATATGCACCTGAACTGCTGAGGAGAGGGTCATTAGCCAGGAGCTACTGTCAGAGAGGTAGGCATAACTTCAAACCCTTCCTCTGTCATTTCCCTGGGGCCAAGACAGCCTCAGTGTTCTGCTCAGTGTGACTACATTTGATAGGTTTCCTCCTGACCATTGGCCACTGACCTCCTTGATCCCCTGATGGCCTAATCACAGGGACCATCTTCCCTAGCATCCTCCTATCCTTTCTGCCAGCTCACCCGGTGCTGAAAATCCCTCCCGCCTTTTGTTTCAGTGGAGTTGAGTTCAGTCTCTCTCCCCTGTTGCAACAGTCTTGAATAAAGCCTTCCCGGCCATTTGACTGCCCTGGTGCAGTTTTTCTTTTACAGGTCTCGTGCTGTGACTTACATAGGATGGGATTCAATGTGAGACCCTCAGCCCTCTCCCCCAGGACCCATCTATGTGCATCTGAAGCCATTGTCTTCACTCCTGACTGACTGCTTGGGGAACCACTGGTGAGGCCAACTCCTGATCCAGTGCCCTGCACAACGCTGCAGTGAAAGCATTCACGGTGTGGACAGTTCCTGATTCCCGATTCTGAGTTCACTCCTGAGGCTGGGTTAGAGTCCCAGGCATCTTTGTGTGAAAAGTCTCACCAGTTTTGTACATGGGGCATCTTACAGAGACCTCATTTGGTTGAACTTTGGTCTTTTGGTGTTGACAGCACTCTTCCTCTGTAGGGATCTGCTTGGATTTTCTTCCTTTGTTGCTGTTACTTTGGGGCCTTGCCTGCCTGCTCCTGCCCTGGTGCCCACCTGTATTAGTCTGTTCTAATGCTGCTAAAAAAGACATACCTGAGACTGGGCAATTTATAAAAGAAAGAGGTTTAATGGACTCACAGTTGCACATGACTGGGGAGGCCTCACAATCATGGAGGAAGACAAAGAAAGAGCAAAGGCATGTCTTACATGGCAGCAGGCAAGAGAGAGCTTGTGCAGGGAAACTCCCATTTATAAAACCATCAGACCTCATGAGACTTATTCACTGCCATGAGAACAGTATGGTGGAAACCGCTCCCATTATTCAATTATTTCCACCTGGCTCTGCCCTTGACACGTGGGGAATTATTACAATTCAACGTGAGATTTGGATGAGGACATAGTCAAACCATTTCACCGCCTGCCCTGATCCTTACCCTCCTGCTTCGTCCCCTTTGAAGACTCTGGCTGGCGAGGTACCCACGCCATGGTGCTGACTGTCCACTTCCCTCCTTTCCAGCAGGATTTTACTGAGGATGATGTAAACCTTCCTCAGAGCAACAAAAATATTTCCAGCAAAGACGAGATCTATTCTGACCTGGGATTGTGAAAAAGGCCAATAACAAGGATGGAGGATGAAACCTAGGGAAAGAGGGAGAGGGGGGAGTCCTAATGAGCTGGGAGTGTCCTCCAAGGCATGGCAGAGTGGGAGGAGCAGCTGAGAGCACGAAGGGAGCTGAGGGAGACTCTCGGCATCCAGGTCTGCTCAGGAGCAAGGCACAAACTGAGTGAGTGGTGGGAAGCCTATGGGATGACTTAGCTTTTAAGAGATTTTGTTATTTTTGGTACAGGCAGAAGATGATGCAGGAATCCTCAGGATCACTATACCCCCTTGATTTACCAGGTGAGAATAAATTGTAATTATATTAAAAATTGTTTGCATATAAACAAATCTCCTCCACGCCCTGAGGATCCACAACTACTTTGACTCATCCTTCCTCATGGAGGATGCAATGCACAGGTCACCCCAGATAGGGAAGGGCCAGTCCCATTTGGTTTGTACCACTGAAATCTTAAGATAGAGGACTCCAGTGAAATAAAGCCAGAACCTTAGCAGAAAGTTCTAACCTGTGACAAGATTTTGGCAAGGCTGGGAGATGATGGCTCAAATACCCTTCTTATCATGCATTCCATCTGCCAGGTTTACAAAGCCACAGTCCTTCCATTCTTGGGTTAATTTTGGATTTATTCATTAATCCAGCTACCATCCACCCTTGACTTTCTTGTCAAAAAAAACTTTCTTGTCAAAAAGTCTTACTGCTGTGTAATAATTTTAAGTGCATGCAAGTGCTATGCTGGAACCTGATCTGGGAAGATTAAAGGTGGGAATCCTTTTGTCAACTCCATCTTTAATAGGCATCTTCATGTTTGATGGACTTTGCTACTGGGTTTCATGTGGCCCTGGGAATGTACACGGCACTCCAGTGTTTTGGGCAGCAAAGCACTGAATAATATCTCTCTCTCATCACTTGCTAGTCAAGTGTAAAGAGACACAGTGCTTGTTCAGTGAGATTCCCCTGCAAACATCACACGTCTCCGTCGGGGACAATTCCAGGTCAGTGCACAGGTTAAGTGAACAACCTCACAAATGTGAAAATAACACAGGAGGACAGGCACCAATTCCAGAGAGTAGCAGTTCAGGAAAAATGTAATCGCCCCCGCACACCCCCGCTGCAGGCCACCTCCCCTCCCACTCCCACGTGGGTCCCGATGCATTTCTCAGGCATGCGTGCCTGAGTCCCTATCACCCTCGCTTGAACTCACTCATTCAGAAAGAAGCCTCTGAGCAGGCCCCCTCAGTCTCCTTCTTCCAGTGGAAGCCGAGTCACTTTTAATTTCCTACAAAGATATTCTAGGGAGGCTCCTCACTGCTGCTGTGGCGGGTTCTGACAGTCAATATGTTATTTCTCAGTGAACTAATGTAGTTCATTAACCCTGCACAACTGACAATTAAGAAACAGTGTCTGCGAACCTTTGCTTTTCTTAATATCCTTTTTAATTGCAGGGAAAGCATAAGGCTGTCTTCCTCGCTGTCTTTCTTGCTGATGCACCTGAAACTCCAGACTTAGGGATTTTGCATTTTTTTTTTAAATGGCTTCCTAGATTGCCAATATTCTCTTTAAAATAATTTGTGTAAAATTGGGGGAAGGGGAGGTTCCAACAATCATTTTAGAAGTTCAAATTTAAATCAGTTTCTACAAATGCAACGAAGTCCTGTACTAGGAACCTGGTCTTCAGCAAATTCTCCCTGGCAATGGCCCTGGAAACAGGGGGCTTAGATGGGAGCAGGATACTGCTGTCAGGGCAGCCCAGGGAGAGGGGTCTGCCCTAAAGGGGGCTGATGGAGCCAAGGCAGAGAGCCTGCACTGGCAAGAGGGCAACCTGGGAATAACAGTAATATCATTCATAGCAACAATCACGGAATAGCTGGGGCCATGCATCGAGCCAGATACCCCCATGGATGACCTTGTCAAGCCCCCAGTTCTTGAGAGGTCTGCTGCCACCCTGAAGCCAAGTTCAACACACACTGCTCCCTTTCCCACCATGAGCCCCTTCTCTGCAGAACAGTCAGCCAGCTCTGCAGCCCCTCAAGGGTTCCTAGGACACCCACTTAATATGTTTCCTCCACGGGTGCCACCTCACCACTTAGGGAAGCCTCTGTGCATACCTGGACAGGGCAGCCTGGCCTTTGCAGCCTCAGCAAACCACCTCCTGGCCCAGGGCCCTTATCCCCAAACACGGACCCTTGTAAAAGGAGGCTGCTTCCAGCAGCAGGTGAGTCTGGGGGCTCTGGGGCCCCCTACTGTCCACCTTTGGTTGGGCAAAACTGGGATCCAAACCTCCCCATTCTCTCCAATGAGGTCAGGCATCAAGGTTTCTGGGGCCCAGCTGAGAAGCTGGTCTCACCCTCAGATCACCTGAGCATACCTGCATTCCTTAAAGAGAGACAGCACCCTTTCTCTGCTGCAAAATTCTGCTGTCAGGATGAGCTGCTCACATGATTGCAGGTTTCCCTTCCTTACGGACGGAGCAGAGGTGCCAATGAAAAGTCCAACGTGGGCACCTGGGTATTCAGTGTTTATTATGTGCTAGACGAGGGCAAAGCGCTCCCTGTTAACAGCCTTTCTCCTTGAGTTTTACACCTTGAACATTCATTCAACAAACATTAATTGAATTTCTACTAAGGGAGAATATCC